AAAAAATTAAAGTTCTAACATTAAATTATATCATTTTATTTAATTAAAATTTAATTTAAAATTTAAAATTTTATCTTATTAAATGTTAATATTTAAATTAAGAAAATGATTAAAATTTTAAATTTTAAATTAAGATTTCAGTTTTTAAATATAAATTAAGATTTTAAATAATTTTTAAAATTAGAACTAATATACATTAATCTTTAATTATAATGTTGTTTAAAATTATAAAATTATAATAATAATAATGTATCATTAAATTAATATAATATATTTGTTTACAATGTGAATCTCCATGAAGCGGCCCATTATATTTTGAAAAATTACACTCATGACCCATTGAAAAGTAATTGCTGCATTCTTTAAGCTAAAAAGCATAACAAGCCACTCATAAATACCAATTTCGCTTGGAAATTGAAATGTTGTCTTTGGAATGTCAGTTTCTACTGTGAAAATTTGGTTGTAACCACTATGACCATCCATGAAAACAAAGATTTTGTGTTTTCGCAGCCCCATCTAACAAACACCTTAAAGTAAAGCAAATAATGTTTAAGTTTTTGGTTAAAACCCTATTTTGGTCTTTGAACTATTGTACAAACCTCCAATTTGATCCCTAAACTAAAAAAAATCCCTGATTTAATTTCTACTGTTTAGTATTTTAACCCCGATTTGGTCTTTTCGTTAAATATCCCACCGTTAACTGACAGTAAGTTAATGACATGGTAAAAATTTTAAACACGTCAGATCAAAATTATGACATGACAACATAACAGGTTATATTCATGCCATGTAACCCACTAAAATTACAATTTTACCCTCATCTTCTTCCTCCAGCATCCTCTTCCTCGAATCTTCTTCATTCATCCTTCTTTTTCCCTCTCTTTGCCTCCTCTGAAACAACTTTTACCACCATTTTTCCGAATCAAACAATTAATTCAATGAAATGGAATTCAATTCTTCATCAATCAATTCTTTTTCATCATCAAACAACAAAACCCACAAAAAAAAAAAAAAACATAAATTTTTTTCGAACCTAGCACTAGGTTCGAATGAATCCCGCACCTAGTATCCAAGGAACCCAGCGCCAAGTGAACGAACCTACGCCTAGGTTCGTTCGAACCCAGTGGCAACTGTTGGGTTTGATGGGTTTTAAGGGTAAAAGGTAAAGAGAAAAGGAAAGAGAAAGAAGAAGAAAATTTTTTTTAAGTTTTATTATTTTTATATTATTATTTTTTTTGCCACGAGTATTAATATTTTGCCATGTTTTGTCATGTCATCTCATAACAGTGAATTAACAGCACATGTAATGAGATTTTTAATGGAAAGACCAAATCGGGATCAAAATGATAAACAATAGGAACCGAATCAGGAATTTTTTTAGTTCAGATACCAAATCAGGGTCCGTACAATAGTTTAGGGAACAAAATGGGGTTTTAACCTTAAGTTTTATCGCTGAAAAGAACAGACCAAAACAAAGCTTCTCAACCAAACCAAAAAATATTTCACTTCAGTTGATCCTAAACTTCTGTTAAGAACGTCACACCACCCCTCATTCGTCGTCGTCCATTGCTTCTCCACCTCTAAAAGGCCTCAACCGGTCTCCTCTACTCAAAATCCTCAAGGAACTTGAGAAGAACTTGAAGAGGAAATCAAGCAACTTTTAGACAACAATCCTGATGATTTCAACAAGAAGGTACAAATTTCAGTCTTCTCCTCCATGATTTTGGGCCCTATTTGCACTTTCTTCTTATTAATCTTCGGCAATGTTATCAACTTCCTGAAAAGTTAACCCACTTGGGACAATTGGCAAAAGGGGCATTTTGTTTCCTAACCAATGTCAAAACTGAAGGAATGGCCTAAGTGGGTTGCTAAAATGCCTCCATTTTTCTCACAGAATTGGAAAGAAATAGGCTTGTTTAGCTTTATACTGATGAACGCATATCAAACCATTTTTGACAGAAATATCATCGCTGCTGCAGTGTCATTTTGGTCAATTGCATACAACTGCTTTCATCTTCCAAGTAGTGCAATGTCTATTTGTTTGCTTGACGGACCCCTACTGTTAGTCATGCCAAAAACCAAGTTTGGCCTCTGGGATTTTTTCTACCTTGGGAGCAAGTTGGGGAAATAGCTATACAACCATAATTGTAAAATCCACAATGGGCACCACTTTTCTTTTGAAGGGAAGGGAAGTTACCTTATGGCATCCATAGTAGAGGCTAAGGAAAACTTATCCCCAGTAGCTAAGGCTATAGCAAGTGATAAGTATCACAAAAAACATTAAATAATGTGGGTATTATTGCTGAAATTTCATTCCCAATACATGGGAAATTAGTGAGAG